TTATAAAAAAAATAATTGTATCTGAATTAAGGGCTGTAATAAAGAAAAAAAAAACACACAACTTTCATCAGTTTTGGAAACTAGTATATATATAACTTGTATTCGCGTACTCGTACATCTGGTGAGACAATCTGCAACTTTGTGGGGTCAATGTCATCTCTATATGCTAATTAGACGACATTTGAGCTACGTGACAGGGATTGTTGCGCATGCCTACTCGATGGCTCACAATCCTTCATTTGGAGGATGAGTTTTTGTTTGTATTTTTTCCAGGCCACCTTATAGTTGGTTGTTCTGTTTTTCTATTGGTCCAGATGCGTTTCCCCCCTAAAATACAATTCCTTCCCATAAACTATTATCGTGAACCGACGTTTCACATACCATTACTCTTCTAAACTTCTCAGGCTCCGAAACTTCAAGGTCAAGGTCACATATTTAGGTTCACAAGAAGGTAAGACTTTGCCGTCTATATCAATTACATTTTTTTCGTCCCTTCCGGACTAAAGGATTATGGGTAAACGACGAGGTGCGCCGGAAATTGTAGTTCCAGATCATTCATATATAAGTACAATACAAAATAGGTCTATTTTCTTCAAGGTAATCTCGTATAGGCTGAAATTTCTCGCGGAAAGATATTGTAACTCTCATGGGAAATCAAGAAAAATGTTGCAATACGTATATTGGTTGCTGGATATATCGTCTGCTTTATGAAAAATAGCGCGCATTATATTGAACCGTTGAACGATATTACATTCTCGTGGACTGGTGCAAAATTTTTGTACATCCTTCAAATCTAATAAGTAAAATCATCGGAAAATATTCTACTATTTATTTCAATATCAAAACGTTGCTATATACCAGTAACCGATTTCAACTAGATCTACCAAATACCCAATAGTTTGCCTATTTAAATGTTTGTTTATTTGTAAGGTTTTACTTTCGTATGGACCCCAGTCTGAAACAAGAATACTTTCGTATGGACCCCAGTCTGAAACAAGAAGTACCTTTAAAAAGATGCTGTGCCGAAGTAAAACAGGTTAACTTGCATATGTTAGATTTTTAGTTTTCCATGCAGTCATAAAAAGTGTAAGCATAGCTTGTATAAAAATGACCTAATGATTCTTGTTGAAAAGTGGAAAATTTCTCAATACTTGATTAATTTGCATAAATATATGAAAAGTTTAAATTGAACACATCAATAATCATATGATATATTTAACACTTATTGTGAACATCATACACTTAGGGTACCTGATAAGTTCTGATATTATTCTCGTCATTTTGTACAAAATTTAAAACTAGATCTTGTGTAAAATAAACTCAGTAAGTTCTTAAGAAAAATAAACTGCTCACTAGAAAATGTAATAAGATCTGAATGCAGTGTTAAATGTTTTGTGGGAGGAATTACTGTTAAACAGAACTTAAATATCTGAGCAATTTAACTAGAAAGTTTAAGAACTATCCTGTACATTTTTATTTTAGAACTATCCTTTACATTTTATTTATAATGGCAAGAACCATCCTTTACATTTTAGTTTAGAACTACATGTGTATCTTACATTTTATTTTAAAATAGCCAATGAGATTCCTAGATTTCATTTTGTAATTTCAAAATGACCAATGAAAACTCTTCCCTGTAAATTATTAAAGGAAGACAAACTAATTTTAGGGAAAAATAAGTTAGTGTTCAAACATATTGTAAAGTTTGAAATGTCCTGTAGTATTGACACAAGTGTTTCCGAGGGATCACTTTTTTCCAGAATTTAATTTACCTTTATAAAGTTTAGTGCTTTTACGATTATGTGCAGATGCACATGTCCGTCTGTTTGTCTGTTTCTCATCTGTAAGCTTAGTACATTGGCTTCTTCCTTTGTATACATGTACATTCCCACTTATGTACTTTATTTACGAGACTTTGATAGCTCAGCGGGAGAGCAACACTCCTTCACCATACTTTTTTAACAACTTATTTGAAGGAATGGCAGAGTGTACGTTTGAAAGTACATGTCAATACTTCGTTTGTTCTGGTGCCAATTTTAGCCGGGGAACTATCTAGATCGCAGTGTCTTGGCATTTAACATGGACTGTGAATTCTTACTGACTGTGCCAGGCGAACTCTTTACAAGAGGTATGAAAATCCAAACGTTGACATGCTTAGTTTTCTCTGGGTTTTGTGGGAGTGCTTAGAATACAACTGACTTATGAATAAAGACCACTGACAGACAATGCAAACTATTATTGGTGATTAATGCAATACATATGACATTTTGTGTTTATAGTTTTACACACATACAAGAATGATTATAGATAATTAGAGTTTGTAGGAAACATAAAAGAGAGACAGTGTTTTGTGTGCTGACAAATGATGTATTTATCTATATCATAAAGATTTTAGTTCAGTAAATATTACATGTTCCTAACATGGTCACCGATCCCTATAAACATTACATGACTTAGATCATGTCCTATAGCATGTTCTCACAGCGCATACAATAACATTACATCTATATTTCAGTAACATGTTCTTACTTAAACTTACCCAGAACATGACTAGGGCTCATGAATGTCCCATATAGATAGAAATATTACATATGTGCTATGCTCAAGATGTAGATAATGTGCGGATTTTAATACTTGTATTATGATATTAACATATTACTCTGTACAGAGTGACAATGTGCCTTTTTTAAATTATGATATGTTGTATATACTGTATCACATTGATGAGACTATAATAAAGAATTATGTAAAAGTTTTGAAAAAGATGCTTAACGTCTGTTTGTTTATCATAAAGTTTTGGAAAAGTAAATAATTACCTTTGGTAACACGTATGACTATATAATTACGTCGGCTGAGATTTCTAGTCTGTATACAGCACGCGCCAACGAGCCGACAACTTACGTGCGATTTTTTTCAGTAAGCCCGCTCATTTTTCACACGTATATCTTATGTCAAGGGGTGGACGTAAGCATGCGTGCGATCTCCGTCGCGTTCTTATTCTCCATTAATTCATTTGATGTGTTTGCGGTAAAGGCCGGGACATGCTGCGTTTCCCTTTATTTTGAGAACCCGTGTGAAATTTACGTGTAAACCCTGTTGGATCTATATGGACCCGAGGTTCAGTAAATATATTATTATTTACTTCACAGACAATAGCTTTGTTAAATGTTTTAAAACGTCAGAACTTTACTATGCCGGTTAAAATGAAGAAAGAAAGAAATGTTTTCATTCCTTTGTATTATCATTTAATGTGTACACAATGTACAGTTTAAGCTGTCTTAAATTATAGTTTTAAACATTTGATTTGCATTTGTTTATACATTAAATACAGTATATTTAATGCATAAAACAACAACAACAGCAGCAACAACAACAACAACAACTCCACTCCAACCCCCCCCCCCCCAAAAAAAAAAAAAAAAAAAAAACTCCAAAAAAAGCTAATATAAAGAAAGATATTCCCGTTTTAATCATTATAGAACAGTTATTATTTATGTTGGAAGGGTACACGTTTATCCTGGTAGAGATAAACAGTTGTGCAGATTGGCATTGATTGAATAAGTTATGAAATGTTTACGTAAAAAAAAAGAAATAAAAATCTGAAAAATGCGACAAAAGTCGAAGAAAACAGATTACATGTTCAGGATTAAGCACTGTACTGCGTCATGGACTTTGTCGAATGTCATGTGGGGTCGTCAACCTTCATCTGTTATATAAACATATTTTTTAATATTTATTATAGCAATGTTTTTATGATACTATCTATTCATACAATGTATGCCACGTGATATTTGAAAATCAATTTGCTATACTAATACTGCATGGTTGTATTTCTTCATTTTTTGCAAACGCTTTATGTGAAATTATCAATAGCAATACCACACTTTTTGTACTGGAGAAGTGTTTGATACTTTGTACACACGTATACAAGAAGGGTAATAGTAATTATGCTTCTAGCTATATGACAGTAACCTGAAAAATTGTACTAAAAAGTAAGCATCAATTATTAAATGAAGTTATTTAATAAGTAAAATAACTATTGTTAAGTTAGGTTAGTTATTTATAACATGATATCATGGTAAACACATCGATGTCTTTTAAATAAAGAATACAATTCTGTAAAAGGACCCTTACCTGACATGCCATTACAAAATTGTCTAACCATATTTCTTTTTTCTTTCAATTTAAACCTTTACTTTCATAGTTATTGTTTCCTTACAATGGTACCTGAAAACACGTGCAGATAATAAAAGCAACGGTGCTAAAATAAAAGGAAAAGAAATTTGTGTTCACTCCGTCTATATAAAAATCGGTCAAAGATCACTTAAGTTTTAAACATCATTTTAGGCTCGGATATGTACTAATGTTGTGTAGTGACCGGGGGGGCGGGTAGGGATCGGACATGTGATCCCTGGGGTCAGTGGAAGACACATTTTGCCACTGATTCATTTAAGCTTTTTGTATAATGTCTAAAACAAAAAATTTTGCTGATACAAATGTCGCCTGCTTTGAAATGTCTTATTAAAGGAATGTCAATGGACTTCTCATGTATGTATTACAACTGTAGCATTATTTAGATACGTTTGTCCGTCTGACAGCACAACCAGATCGACATCTGTGTTTAGAAATCGTGTTAAGCTCGCTACAATTCTATTAGTTCTGAAAAATCGTTTTCTTTTTCTACTATGTCTGACTTTTCTTTAATTTCTGTTACGCCGTCGCAATGTCTTATGAAGATATATAATCGCAGACGAATTTGCAAGTTTTATTTTTCACCGTTCTTTGCAAGAACTGCAATGCTAAATTCCGGTTCGCCAATGACTTGTAATAAAATATTCAGATCGGGAAACCTTAATTCACGCCCGCAAATAACGGTAAAATCAGAAAAGAGCAATGTAATATTGGAAACACCCATCTCTCCATAGAGAGTCAAAAATCAATGACGACCTAATAAATATTCATATCCTAGTCACGTGGTTCTACGATGCTTGTCGTCTGCAAGTGGTATGAGAGACGCAGAGCCAATAACTATTGTCACAATTTATTAAGAATTGAAAGTTTGGAAGAACAACAAAATCTAACCTCGGAGCGGACCAATTTGGGGCTTAAGCGATAAGCCTAAATTAGAAAATTGTTAACGGGAAAAATTCTTTATCTGATTGGATTACAATAAATATAACGCGGCCTTATCTAGAAACATCCAAGGTTGAGGTGCAGGCCGAAATGAGTGTGGGACTTGAATCCCCGCATAACGGATACTTGCCGCCGTCGGGAAGTCCCGGGAGTCCGCCGGCATCTCTTGCCGACATGATTAGCCGGAATAAGATGCTCGAAGGTAAGCGCAGACGACTTTTTTTATAAAAAAAAGGCAGAAAGCTTTTATAACATTTCATGATACACATAAAAACTGTGTTTTCATTAAAATTTCAATTCTAAGAATACAGTTTTAAAATTAAAAGTTTTTGTTGACAGTGAGCTTTAGTCTTTCTAACAATACTAGTTTCATAGCCTTCCAATAAAGCCTTATTTGTGTAAAAAATAAAAAGAAATTATGTATATAGAATTTTTGTTTATAGAAAACTTATTTCATCTTAGTTTTTCCATGTACATTGTAGAACGGAATCGTTTATAATCCTGTCTCTGATTAATCTCGGGTCCTTATTGATTTTTACATCACAGTTCAATTAATTTGTCCCTAAAGAAGAAAATTATTTTTAATATTAATCGATTCATTATGAATGCTGGCCATAAAACATATAATTGATGAAAAGGTCATTTAAACGAACGCGCGCACGAAAAAAGTGACTGTGATAACCAAATACTTTTTATATTGCAACAAATGTGATCAAGTTTACTTTTTCTTTTCATCATTACAAATCAGGTGAGAGCATAGGTCAATTAAGACTGAATAGATAAAATATATTATCATAAAACAAATTTAATGTATACAATATTATTATATTTAGAACTTACTTGTAAATAAACGGTCTTCATGACAACGATTCCCCTATCCCATAATGCTTTTCCTGTAAGCTGTTTAAGTCTTTAATGTACGAAATTGGTATTCATTATGAATTTTTAAAAAATGAAATAATTTTTCATTCATTAAAAACAAGAGTTTTTTTATTATATAGTTACTGAGTCGTCGTGATGAATATTTTATATGTTGATATAAAAAACAAACGAATTGCGTAATAAAAAATAGTAACATACTGAAAACTTGGCACAGTTTAATTGCACAATTAAACACGCTTTTCAATTATAGCGAACTTTTAAATGTGATATTTATTATGCAATGCCAATTCAAAAGGTTCACGGCCTTGTACGTTTTTTTTCCATTTCGCTCACAACTATAATAAAAAAATCAAATAAAATATTAAAAAAGTATTGTAGCATGAATAACATATTTCATTTCTTGTGATTTTTTATTGATAAATCATTAAATCATTTTATCATTGATATTTATTGTGAGAATAAATTCAATTAAGTTGGTTTTTTTCCCTCATGGTACATACTTTAAAAATGTTAGCGTTAAAATAGATTTGGTGATAAGAAAATTTACGGATTTGAACATCAAGTATGAATATAATAGTAACCGAATATATTTATGACAATTTAACATATCAGGACTATTCTAATTGTACTAATAGTGGTTTTGTATGCCCTGTATTGTCAGTGGAAGATGTATGTCAGGTTTAAAGTTACAATATATTCTATCCGAGAATGTGTTAATATGAATTTTATATGATGTGAAAAAAATATATCGGAGTTATATTTTTATTATCTTTCTAATGCGATGAATATACATGTTAAGTATGTGAAAAAGTATAATAATATGAAAGTCCACTTTTTGATCTGATAAAGTATTATGGTGAACTGATATCATTTCATTGAACGTGAATAAATTGTCATGCCTAGAAGACGTTACGTGGAACGTTTAGGGCAGTTAACGCGTAGGTAAATGCGTACAACGTTGTCGCATGCAGAAAAAGAAATTTTGATAATTTTCTGATATTCGTTAAAACTGTTGCACCGACTTCCGGTATTAAGCCGACTTTCAACTGTTTAAGACGGATAATGAGGCTCTGCAGAGTTTCGGCACAGCCAAATATTTCAGCCAGTTTTTGATTTTTTTCTCGCATATAACATATCAATCACAATACCAAAGAATTGACTAACACTAATTCTATTCAGCTCTTTTTAAGATCGCGAAATGATGTCACCATATTAAGCGTTGAAATGACATCATTAATATGTAATAAGATGAGGTGTTCTGGCCAAAAACATTCTTTATTAAGGAAAGCGCTTTTTTTAGATGTTTCACGAAATATTTTACTAAATTATCATTTATAAGAATAATAAAATTCTATTTTTGTTCTGATAACATTGTGGTGCCACGTTTTTTCTTGCATTAATGTATTTTTTTTCTTCAATAATATGGCTGCAGACGTTACAATCACATATATATGTTTCACATATTACTTCAACAGGTGTTAAAAGTCGAAAAAATGTAATATTTGTTAACAATGTATATGAGACACAGTGTAAGATATAAAACCGTTGTTTAAGACGCATGGAAAATAAAGCATCAGTTCTATCATAAGCTCTAGAGACTGGCACGCACGTTTTGTGAAGGAACACAATTTTCATATCGCAGGTTTAGTAGGTTTCAGTTGAAATTATTTCGACCATGACTGTCATATTTATTAGTAAATGATTCAAATTTTATGCAAATGTCTGTAAAAACGGCGATGTAATAGCACCTCTTATTATTCCTCGAAGGTTTAATCTTCCGAGTTGTTTGTTATCATATAGAATACATCACCGCATTGTAAAATAGTTCGTGCACGGCACGGATTTTATCACTTATCGCTGTCATCCATCTTGTTGCCATTAGTAACCACGTGGAATCCGCTTATAGCGCGGAGTTGTAACCGGCTTACGGCCCTATCCTGACTGACATCTCAGTGTTACAATGTCTACTCTAGTCGGATCACGGACGATCGTCCAGGTGAAATAGACAGACACTAACTAAATGAAGCATGACTTGTCACAGGTAGTCCCCATATAAGATCAAAGACACCGCCGCACGCGCCCACCTGCTTCTACTAACAACAAAATAACGGTAACGGCGAACAGCAGATTCCTAATTTTGATTAATGACCTTTCGGCCAAATTCAATATTTCCAAAATATTGGAAAAATTGTGTGTATTTTCAAAGGCAATAAAATTTTGCTTACTTTCCACGCATGAATTGACAAAGGTATAATTTGTGAACCCGTCAACCTCTAAAAATGTGATTTGTTGATGAAAACAAGAATAAATCAATTTATTATATAATCTATAAATAGCTTTGAAATGCCTTTCCCTGATTGGCTAACAAGCAACTTTTTGTAAAAAATAACAGGTCAATATCAGAGTATATTCACTGTTTTTTTTCTAAAAATAGATTTTCAGAGTATATTCACCGGCTTTTCTTCTAAAAATAGATTTTCTGGAAATCCCTAAAAGACGCAAGACTTTGACGTGACATCACGCCAAGTTTGTTGTTATTATTCTATATTTTATACTAAAAACGTTGGGTGGGGTGTACATAATAGTCAAATTAGTCTATTTTTGTTACCGTTTTACATTTTTAAGAACAATAGGGATTAGCATGCCAATGGAAAGGGCCAAATTATGGAAACAGTAGACAAGCTGAAAAATAATGATTTCCGTTGTATGCAATGGCAGATGTGATAAGCCCTATATAAGCTATTTATAAATTATATAATAAAACAGATATGTACTTTTTAGCAGTTGAATATGATGTGATATGTACTGAAAAATTAATATTGACCTCGGCTATCGCCTCGGTCAATATTAATTTTTTCAGTACATATCACATCATATTCAACAGCTAAAAAGTCCATACATGTATTTGTATAATATTATTATGAAAGTTGACAAAAATACAAAATTACAACCCCCTCTAAATGAACAATATTTTATTGTTGGAGTTAAACCCGGAACGTATCGAAATGATTATAATAATAATAATAATAACAACAACAACAACAACAACAATAATAATAATAATAATAATAATAATAATAATAATAATAATAATAATAATAATAATAATAATAATAATAATAATAATAATAATAATAATAATAATAATAATAAGCACCCTCATACAAATACTGCACTCGCGCTTTTTATATATTATATATTTAACGCAGTTTTCTTATCTTACTTAAATGTTGAAACTTGGTTTCTTAAAACGATTTGGTTGCCAATTAAGTATTATAGTCTGTAAAAAGTTTGTAGAAAACAACAGCAGGTTAGTCACATTTATTTTAGGTTTAAGAATAACGAGAAATAGTCGTGCCACATACATGTGTATAAAATTCATCACTCGCACACCATTAGGCTGTGTGTTCGAATCCCGTGATGAATACTGACTGAGTTTATGTTATCTATCTATCAGACGGATTGGGCACTGTTTTTGTTCAGATGGCTTTGAATTTATTTAAGAATATATTGTAATTATTTTCAAATACTGCGTGTGCCGTGGGAAAGGTAGTTAGTTAAAAAATTCTGATCCGACAAGTAGATTTATATTTTTGACGTCCAACTTTTAAATGTCGCCAAACTTAAAAATGACGTCGAACTTATAAATGACGTCCAATTTGCACGTATGGTTATGTATATCCGATTCACTATAAACCATATCTTATTATTATGTTTCTCTGTATCTATATCAATACAAATTTACAACATAGAGAAGTTTCAGACATTAAAATGTAAAAAGAAAGTTAATCAGTTATTTCACATAATAACACATTCGTTGTATAATTATATACAGTCATTATCAAAAGAAACATACACATTATTTAGAAATTTTACGTATTTTTTTTATTCAAATCATAAAGCATGGTGGCTAGTTTAAGCCATGTACAATAATATTAACCCAAGATGAATGACCTTCTACAAAGGTTAAGTATACATGCTTTTATGTAATCTACGCCAAGGTGCAGTCCAACATACACAACAACAAAACAAGTTATATTTGCACTATGAACGCACCTATTTTTTAGGGTCATTTTCCAAGGAAATACACGTGTTTTCTGGACATTTTACTGTAGCCATGTTCTGTTATGCAAGTCCTTCGGTATACATATATATATATATATATATATATATGTGTGTCGTTATATATCTCTGTAGAAAAAAAGATAATGATAAAAAACTTTATTCAGAAAACGGCATTTCCGTAATAAATAACATACGTTATGTTAGATGCATATGTTTGTGGTAAAGAACACTTTTAATATAGTAAATTAAATGATG